TGGTTGTTAATGGCAGTATAGTATAGGGATGTAAAATTTCGATGAATTGGCTAATCGAATAGTCAATGCAATTTGCATTGACTATTCAATTAGTTGATAAGGGTGTCACTGCCTTTGAAGTGTAGCAACAGCCCAAAGGGGGACTCAAGCAGTCCTCCACTGGCCCCGTGCTCCCCACAGTGTTTCAAACACCGCATGGTGCCTGAGACTCCCAGCTGGCCTCAGGCTGCACGCAGCATTTCAAAGCCACAGACCCCGGGCTCCATGCGGCACTGCTACTTTGAAATGTCCCCAGCTGGCCCTGGGCTTCATGCAGCATCTCAAAGCAGCAGCACCACGTGAAGCCCGGGGCCTGGCCCCAGGGCTCCCAAGTGGCGCTGCTGCTTTGAAGCACCCCCCTTCATTCCCAACCCCCTCCACCCCTGCCTCTTTCTGATAAAGGTAGCAAGGTGGGGGGGGGGCGACAAGTCGACTAGTGTCGACTATCTGATAAGCATTTGCTTATTGAATAGTCAGCTAGTCATTCACATCCCCAGTATAGTGTCCTCCCTTCTTCCAGCAAACATGGCTGAACTGAAACTTGAGTTTGTTCCACAAGCTCTGAAGATGATTGCTTATTCTCTCATTTTCAGTTTGAAGCCTGTTGATTAGTTTAGCCTGTTCAGAAGAAAGGTGTGTCAGCACCCCAGCTATTTGTGCTTTTTGACTGTTGAGTTCACTTTTCAGATTTAGAGCTACTGTAGTGAGACGCTCCTATTTGTTTTCCATCATTCCGAATTTCTCTAGAAGCTCCTTTACTTCCTAGGCAATTGTTTCCATACTATCTGCATGGCTCAATTCTGTGTTATCTGCCTGAACTACCACATCATTCAGATTCTTCTGTTCTATTTCATCTAGACCACATTCAAGTTTTGCATTTTTTTCAGTGCATATGTCAGTTTTTTTTCTTGCAGTTCAGTCTTAAGCAGGTCTCTCTCAGACTTTATGCCCTCAAGTATTTGTTGGAGCTCATCTTTCTCTTGATTAATTGATTACATCTGTTCTTGAAGTTGGAGATACTCAGTTTTTTCAGCTACTAACTGTTTTTCATGCAAAACACTATTTAATACATCCATTCACTGAGGACATGTCTACCCAGCAGGGCTCAAGCTGAAATAAGCTATGCAACTTGAACTATGTCAATTGCATAGCTTAAATTGAAATAGCGTATGTCGGCTTTTGGTGCTGTCTACACAGCAGAAAGTCCAAGTCAGAACACTTCCTCCAACTTCCCTTACTCCTCGTAAAATGGGGGTTACCAGAGTCAGAGTAAGAAGTTCTTCAGCTCACCATTATTTTGACATTATGTTGAAATAACTGCTTCTAGTGTAGACACACACTATGTTATTTCGGAATAACTTGATTTTTTTTTTTTATCCTCCTGGTGGTTGCCAAGAAATGGCTGAGCAGGGGACACTTAGGCTTTGTCTATAGTGCAGGGTTTCTGCACAAAAAGCTTTTTACTGAAGAGATCTTCCACAAAAACTTCTTGTGCAAAAGCATGTCCACACCTTTTGCACAAGAGTGTTTTCACACTCCATGGATGCTCTTGTGCAAGAAAGTTCTGATTGCCAGTCACAGAATGTCCATCAGAGCACCTGTGCTTTTTCTGATAGGCTCTTTTTGTGCAAGAAACCGCTGTGAAGCATCCACACTTGCCTTTTTGCGCAAGAGCTGTAGCACAAAAAGGAGTTATTCCTTGTGGGGAGAGGAATAACTCTGCCGGCAAAAGTCCTCTGTCGTGTCGATGTACTGTATTATTATTATTTTTTTTTTTTTTGCGCAAAAACATGCTTGAGGTGTGGACGCTCCACTGATTTTTGCACAAAAACCATATTTTAAGCGGTGCTTAAAATAAAAGACTGTAGTTTAAAAGCCTAAATTACTTTTAAAGTATAGCATTCTGACAGCATCATTTGAACTATGTTAATGGTTCAAACAAAGTGACTGCAACAGTTGTGGTGATTTCAGGAGTTTGGACAGCTTTCTTTTAATAGTTAAACAACCTAAGGGTTTTTTCAGCTTTAACCACAAAATGTATACGGTCCAGGCTGAGACTGATCGTCTTTCTTAAATATTTAGGGAAGTGTCTTCTGTTGAGAAATTAATTTTGCTTATAATGAAATGTAAGGACGCAACTTTGTTCTCATAATGTGGGGGTGCAGCCTGTATTTGTAGAACTTCACAATAGAACATAAGAACGGCCATACTGGGTCAGACCAATGGTCCATCTAGCCCAGTATCCTGTCTACTGTATTATTATTATTATTTTTTTTTGCACAAAAACATGCTTGAGGTGTGGACGCTCCACTGATTTTTGCACAAAAACCATATTTTAAGCGGTGCTTAAAATAAAAGACTGTAGTTTAAAAGCCTAAAGGTACGGCTAGACTGCAGAGGTTTTTTTGGAAGAGCAAATGTGTTCTTTTGGATGCCCCGTATTCCCCATTTCATGAGGAAGAAGGGGGTTTCAAAAGATGGTTTTTTTCCGAAATTTGGCCCAGTCTAGACAGGTCAAATTTTGGAAAAGCCTCTTCCGACAAAAGTATTGGAAAAAGATACGCAAAATGCACTCTGTATTTTGCATATCTTTTTCCAATAGATCCTTGCACTCTAGCTGTACCCTTCGTGATTTTAACATGGTAAAAACAGTTGAGGAACCAAGTTCTTCCACGCAGGAAGTGACTAGACCATATTTTGTTGTCATTTCACACACAGCTTTCCATCAGCTACTGTGAGCACTACTATACTGCATAGCTTACCCAGTAAACCCACAGCTGTATAGCAAATTGAATAGTGCCAACCAACCTAGTTTGTGCTGTCCCCAGCTATATTTATAGGCAGGGTTTGTCAAACCCTGGTGAGAGCTATTTGCCAGCCCTGCACCGCGCATGCGCCGGTGAATGGGGCCACGGAGCGACCGACTGAAATCTACTCACCACAGGCAAGTAGATTCAGTGGTTTGTTGAGCCCTGGTTAAAGGAAGCATAGACATTGCATCTGTGGATATGAATGTGGATATCCATAGCTCATTTTTGTGGACGCAGATATGGATGCAAATTTTGTATCCATGTAGGGCTCCAATTATGTCGGGTAACAATGGTTCTTGATTGATATTCTTATTTATCAGCCCCTGGCTGACCTCTCAAATGCTGCACAAGTGCAACAAATTTAGAGACACCAATAGTATTGGATCCCAAGAGAGCCATGCCTGGGACAACTGCCTTTTCCATTGCAGGCCCCACCTCTCTCCTTTACTTCCTAGGCAATTGTTTCCATACTATCTGCATGGCTCAATTCTGTGTTATCTGCCTGAACTACCACATCATTCAGATTCTTCTGTTCTATTTCATCTAGACCACATTCAAGTTTTGCATTTTTTTCAGTGCATATGTCAGTTTTTTTTTTCTTGCAGTTCAGTCTTAAGCAGGTCTCTCTCAGACTTTATGCCCTCAAGTATTTGTTGGAGCTCATCTTTCTCTTGATTAATTGATTACATCTGTTCTTGAAGTTGGAGATACTCAGTTTTTTCAGCTACTAACTGTTTTTCATGCAAAACACTATTTAATACATCCATTCACTGAGGACATGTCTACCCAGCAGGGCTCAAGCTGAAATAAGCTATGCAACTTGAACTATGTCAATTGCATAGCTTAAATTGAAATAGCGTATGTCGGCTTTTGGTGCTGTCTACACAGCAGAAAGTCCAAGTCAGAACACTTCCTCCAACTTCCCTTACTCCTCGTAAAATGGGGGTTACCAGAGTCAGAGTAAGAAGTTCTTCAGCTCACCATTATTTTGACATTATGTTGAAATAACTGCTTCTAGTGTAGACACACACTATGTTATTTCGGAATAACTTGATTTTTTTTTTTTATCCTCCTGGTGGTTGCCAAGAAATGGCTGAGCAGGGGACACTTAGGCTTTGTCTATAGTGCAGGGTTTCTGCACAAAAAGCTTTTTACTGAAGAGATCTTCCACAAAAACTTCTTGTGCAAAAGCATGTCCACACCTTTTGCACAAGAGTGTTTTCACACTCCATGGATGCTCTTGTGCAAGAAAGTTCTGATTGCCAGTCACAGAATGTCCATCAGAGCACCTGTGCTTTTTCTGATAGGCTCTTTTTGTGCAAGAAACCGCTGTGAAGCATCCACACTTGCCTTTTTGCGCAAGAGCTGTAGCACAAAAAGGAGTTATTCCTTGTGGGGAGAGGAATAACTCTGCCGGCAAAAGTCCTCTGTCGTGTCGATGTACTGTATTATTATTATTTTTTTTTTTTTTGCGCAAAAACATGCTTGAGGTGTGGACGCTCCACTGATTTTTGCACAAAAACCATATTTTAAGCGGTGCTTAAAATAAAAGACTGTAGTTTAAAAGCCTAAATTACTTTTAAAGTATAGCATTCTGACAGCATCATTTGAACTATGTTAATGGTTCAAACAAAGTGACTGCAACAGTTGTGGTGATTTCAGGAGTTTGGACAGCTTTCTTTTAATAGTTAAACAACCTAAGGGTTTTTTCAGCTTTAACCACAAAATGTATACAGTCCAGGCTGAGACTGATCGTCTTTCTTAAATATTTAGGGAAGTGTCTTCTGTTGAGAAATTAATTTTGCTTATAATGAAATGTAAGGACGCAACTTTGTTCTCATAATGTGGGGGTGCAGCCTGTATTTGTAGAACTTCACAATAGAACATAAGAACGGCCATACTGGGTCAGACCAATGGTCCATCTAGCCCAGTATCCTGTCTGCCAACAGTGGTTAATGCCAGAAGCCCCAGAGGGAGGGAACACAACAGATAATCCTCATGTGATCCTTCTTCTGTCACCTATTTACGGACAAACAGAATCTAGGGATGCCATTCCTACCCTTCCTGGCTAATAGCCATTGGTAGACCTAACCTTTATGAATCTATCTAGCTCTTTTCTGAACCCTGTTAAAGTCCTGGTCTTCTCTACAGGTTGACTCTGCACTGAGTGAAGAAAATACCCTGTAGTATCTGATCACTGTGGAAAGGATCCCACTTCAAAGGTGCCTCTAGCTGTACCCTTCGTGATTTTAACATGGTAAAAACAGTTGAGGAACCAAGTTCTTCCACGCAGGAAGTGACTAGACCATATTTTGTTGTCATTTCACACACAGCTTTCCATCAGCTACTGTGAGCACTACTATACTGCATAGCTTACCCAGTAAACCCACAGCTGTATAGCAAATTGAATAGTGCCAACCAACCTAGTTTGTGCTGTCCCCAGCTATATTTATAGGCAGGGTTTGTCAAACCCTGGTGAGAGCTATTTGCCAGCCCTGCACCGCGCATGCGCCGGTGAATGGGGCCACGGAGCGACCGACTGAAATCTACTCACCACAGGCAAGTAGATTCAGTGGTTTGTTGAGCCCTGGTTAAAGGAAGCATAGACATTGCATCTGTGGATATGAATGTGGATATCCATAGCTCATTTTTGTGGACGCAGATATGGATGCAAATTTTGTATCCATGTAGGGCTCCAATTATGTCGGGTAACAATGGTTCTTGATTGATATTCTTATTTATCAGCCCCTGGCTGACCTCTCAAATGCTGCACAAGTGCAACAAATTTAGAGACACCAATAGTATTGGATCCCAAGAGAGCCATGCCTGGGACAACTGCCTTTTCCATTGCAGGCCCCACCTCTTCCTGCCTCTGCCCTGCACCCATTCCACCCCTTCTCCCAAATCTCTGCCTGCCTCTTCCCGACCTTGCTCCACCCCTGCAGAGCCTCTATTCTCCCTTTCTTCTAAATCCTCTCCCCTGAGTGACAGTAGGAGCTCTGCTTCCTGCTACTGCCTGTGAGTGCAGGAGAGGGGCAAACTTCTGCTGCCGGCGCCAGGCCCCTGCTAATTCCAACAGGCTGCTCTTGATCCTGCAAATCCACATCCCCCAGAACTGCAGAGCCTGGGATGTTTTCACCAAACCATCCTATGGATGGAACTGTTCTAGATCCCAATGTCAGAATGTAAACCGGTCTCTACATGGCTTAGCAAACAAAAAAGAAATGCCAATGATAAACAGAACTAGCTTAAGTTTCCTCTTCTTAACTTTCTGGTATCCAGCACAAAAGTTCAAGAGTTACAATACATAGACATGGAAATGCCGCGCAGAGCCCGTAGTCAAGTGCGGAGTCCCCAGCTGATCCCGGGTTCTGCCAAAATGCCGCGGGGAGTCCCCAGCTGACCCCAGCTCCATTTGGCATTTCAAATTGGCAGCTCAGCATGGAGACCAGGGTCAGCGGGGGACTTTGAGTCCCCCACTGACTCCAGGCTCCATGCTGCACTGCAGATTTGAAATGCACAAGAGCCCTCACTGGGGACTCTTGTACATTTCAAAGCTGGCACGCTGCGTGTAGCCTAGAGTCAGCGGGACTTCCCGCTAGCCCAGGCTCCAGGCGGAGTTCCACATTCCTACATTTCAAAGGAGGAATGTGAAAGTGCCTATTTACTAGTCTATGGAAATTTCATTGACTGCTCAACTAGTCAATTGACCGATATTTAACATCCTTAATGTATAGTTTGTTTTGCTGTGCTTTGAGCAACTGTTTTGAATATCTTCCCTAATATGGTTTGTCTTGTGCTCTCACAAGTTATCTGACTATAAAAATTAACAGTTTTTATGTAAATGCCTCTAATTTACCTAGTCTATCATAAACATTGGCCGGTTCCAGGAAGAGAAGACAGATTATGTAAGTGATACATTGTGTTTACACTTACATTCTAATCATTAGTTTAATAGGTGAAAATATAGCTAGCGGTGCTTAAAATAAAAGACTGTAGTTTAAAAGCCTAAATTACTTTTAAAGTATAGCATTCTGACAGCATCATTTGAACTATGTTAATGGTTCAAACAAAGTGACTGCAACAGTTGTGGTGATTTCAGGAGTTTGGACAGCTTTCTTTTAATAGTTAAACAACCTAAGGGTTTTTTCAGCTTTAACCACAAAATGTATACGGTCCAGGCTGAGACTGATCGTCTTTCTTAAATATTTAGGGAAGTGTCTTCTGTTTTTTTTTTTTTTGCGCAAAAACATGCTTGAGGTGTGGACGCTCCACTGATTTTTGCACAAAAACCATATTTTAAGCGGTGCTTAAAATAAAAGACTGTAGTTTAAAAGCCTAAATTACTTTTAAAGTATAGCATTCTGACAGCATCATTTGAACTATGTTAATGGTTCAAACAAAGTGACTGCAACAGTTGTGGTGATTTCAGGAGTTTGGACAGCTTTCTTTTAATAGTTAAACAACCTAAGGGTTTTTTCAGCTTTAACCACAAAATGTATACAGTCCAGGCTGAGACTGATCGTCTTTCTTAAATATTTAGGGAAGTGTCTTCTGTTGAGAAATTAATTTTGCTTATAATGAAATGTAAGGACGCAACTTTGTTCTCATAATGTGGGGGTGCAGCCTGTATTTGTAGAACTTCACAATAGAACATAAGAACGGCCATACTGGGTCAGACCAATGGTCCATCTAGCCCAGTATCCTGTCTGCCAACAGTGGTTAATGCCAGAAGCCCCAGAGGGAGGGAACACAACAGATAATCCTCATGTGATCCTTCTTCTGTCACCTATTTACGGACAAACAGAATCTAGGGATGCCATTCCTACCCTTCCTGGCTAATAGCCATTGGTAGACCTAACCTTTATGAATCTATCTAGCTCTTTTCTGAACCCTGTTAAAGTCCTGGTCTTCTCTACAGGTTGACTCTGCACTGAGTGAAGAAAATACCCTGTAGTATCTGATCACTGTGGAAAGGATCCCACTTCAAAGGTGCACTAGCATGGCTATTAACATGATTAAGCTTTCTTCTGTAATGTGTTTAGCATTTAAGCAGAGCCCCCTGGGCTACACAAGCATGGTGGTGCTCTCAGTGAGTGCCTTCTCTGCTCAGCACAGAGGGGTCAGTTACCTGCATTCTACATTAGTGGAATCCTGCAGAGGGCTCTTTGCAGGAGTGGGACACATGCATAGGGTTACAGTCTTCCCACGGCCTCTGCAATTTGGAGTATGTAGGTGATACAGCTTCAGGTGATACCATTTCTTCTGCAGAGTCTCTTCCCTCACTTACATGGAAGGAGGAAGAGTTCCTAGGAGAAGTCCAAAGTACCATCTCTTCTTGGAGTCCCTTTTGCCAGAATTCTAGGATACAGAGTCTCTGCATTTGTGGCCCTTATCTCTCTCAGATCCTGCAGATCTTTGGGGATGGGGCCAGGATCTATGCAGACTTTTGCATGTTGGCAGAATGCAGGTGGAGGGCTTTAGGGAACCAAGCCCTGCTAGGTCTCGGCTCCATCAGACCTCTTCTTGTGGTTGACATTGTTGGTGGAGATGGTATGGGCCTATGAAAAAATGTTCTATTGCCTCATGGGGAAATGCTTTGAGTCATGCAGGCTATTCCCCAAAACCTGCTGTCAAAAGCTGGCCCTGTCTAAGTTCTGACTTGTCACTTACAAATAGATTGATTGCTTTAGCATTAAGACCACTTTTTTCTTCTTTGCAGGTTTTCTGTAAACTGTTTACAAACCATGACTCTCCGTGTTCTGTACGTAAGCTGATAAAGCATCTATGCACTTTAATCTTGGGTCTCTGCCAGTTTGCTCATATAAGTGTGAGCCCTTCTCTTGAATTTTTGGATACAAAGACTTACTAGCCAAAGTCTCATTCTTGCCTTAGTAATGTTCCAGAGGCTGAATAATATGTTTGTGGGAGAAATCAATAACTTGTCCAGCCAAGAGCCAGAGTTCAGTGAAAAAGAAGATGAAGAATGGATTCTGGTTGACTTTATAGGTAAGATGTTTGTTAAATATAACCTCTACAGCAGGAAGCAGGCAGTTATTTTTATCATACTTTGTATAAGGAAACAAGCACAAAATGCCGCGGGGAGTCCCCAGCTGACCCCAGCTCCATTTGGCATTTCAAATTGGCAGGGCAGCATGGAGACCAGGGTCAGCGGGGGACTTTGAGTCCCCCACTGACTCCAGGCTCCATGCTGCAATGCAGCTTTGAAATGCACAAGAGCCCTCACTGGGGACTCTTGTACATTTCAAAGCTGGCACGCTGCGTGTAGCCTAGAGTCAGCGGGACTTCCCGCTAGCCCAGGCTCCAGGCGGAGTTCCACATTCCTACATTTCAAAGGAGGAATGTGAAAGTGCCTATTTACTAGTCTATGGAAATTTCATTGACTGCTCAACTAGTCAATTGACCGATATTTAACATCCTTAATGTATAGTTTGTTTTGCTGTGCTTTGAGCAACTGTTTTGAATATCTTCCCTAATATGGTTTGTCTTGTGCTCTCACAAGTTATCTGACTATAAAAATTAACAGTTTTTATGTAAATGCCTCTAATTTACCTAGTCTATCATAAACATTGGCCGGTTCCAGGAAGAGAAGACAGATTATGTAAGTGATACATTGTGTTTACACTTACATTCTAATCATTAGTTTAATAGGTGAAAATATAGCTAGCGGTGCTTAAAATAAAAGACTGTAGTTTAAAAGCCTAAATTACTTTTAAAGTATAGCATTCTGACAGCATCATTTGAACTATGTTAATGGTTCAAACAAAGTGACTGCAACAGTTGTGGTGATTTCAGGAGTTTGGACAGCTTTCTTTTAATAGTTAAACAACCTAAGGGTTTTTTCAGCTTTAACCACAAAATGTATACGGTCCAGGCTGAGACTGATCGTCTTTCTTAAATATTTAGGGAAGTGTCTTCTGTTGAGAAATTAATTTTGCTTATAATGAAATGTAAGGACGCAACTTTGTTCTCATAATGTGGGGGTGCAGCCTGTATTTGTAGAACTTCACAATAGAACATAAGAACGGCCATACTGGGTCAGACCAATGGTCCATCTAGCCCAGTATCCTGTCTGCCAACAGTGGTTAATGCCAGAAGCCCCAGAGGGAGGGAACACAACAGATAATCCTCATGTGATCCTTCTTCTGTCACCTATTTACGGACAAACAGAATCTAGGGATGCCATTCCTACCCTTCCTGGCTAATAGCCATTGGTAGACCTAACCTTTATGAATCTATCTAGCTCTTTTCTGAACCCTGTTAAAGTCCTGGTCTTCTCTACAGGTTGACTCTGCACTGAGTGAAGAAAATACCCTGTAGTATCTGATCACTGTGGAAAGGATCCCACTTCAAAGGTGCACTAGCATGGCTATTAACATGATTAAGCTTTCTTCTGTAATGTGTTTAGCATTTAGCAGAGCCCCCTGGGCTACACAAGCATGGTGGTGCTCTCAGTGAGTGCCTTCTCTGCTCAGCACAGAGGGGTCAGTTACCTGCATTCTACATTAGTGGAATCCTGCAGAGGGCTCTTTGCAGGAGTGGGACACATGCATAGGGTTACAGTCTTCCCACGGCCCCTGCAATATGGAGTATGTAGGTGATACAGCTTCAGGTGATACCATTTCTTCTGCAGAGTCTCTTCCCTCACTTACATGGAAGGAGGAAGAGTTCCTAGGAGAAGTCCAAAGTACCATCTCTTCTTGGAGTCCCTTTTGCCAGAATTCTAGGATACAGAGTCTCTGCATTTGTGGCCCTTATCTCTCTCAGATCCTGCAGCTCTTTGGGGATGGGGCCAGGATCTATGCAGACTTTTGCATGTTGGCAGAATGCAGGTGGAGGGCTTTAGGGAACCAAGCCCTGCTAGGTCTCGGCTCCATCAGACCTCTTCTTGTGGTTGACATTGTTGGTGGAGATGGTATGGGCTTATGAAAAAATGTTCTATTGCCTCATGGGGAAATGCTTTGAGTCATGCAGGCTATTCCCCAAAACCTGCTGTCAAAAGCTGGCCCTGTCTAAGTTCTGACTTGTCACTTACAAATAGATTGATTGCTTTAGCATTAAGACCACTTTTTTCTTCTTTGCAGGTTTTCTGTAAACTGTTTACAAACCATGACTCTCCGTGTTCTGTACGTAAGCTGATAAAGCATCTATGCACTTTAATCTTGGGTCTCTGCCAGTTTGCTCATATAAGTGTGAGCCCTTCTCTTGAATTTTTGGATACAAAGACTTACTAGCCAAAGTCTCATTCTTGCCTTAGTAATGTTCCAGAGGCTGAATAATATGTTTGTGGGAGAAATCAATAACTTGTCCAGCCAAGAGCCAGAGTTCAGTGAAAAAGAAGATGAAGAATGGATTCTGGTTGACTTTATAGGTAAGATGTTTGTTAAATATAACCTCTACAGCAGGAAGCAGGCAGTTATTTTTATCATACTTTGTATAAGGAAACAAGCAGCTCCAAAGGAATTTTTAGCCTAAGTGTAAATAATATGGATTTGTATAAAACAATGAACTACAAAACGTGTAATTTGACTAGGGAAACTGACATCAGTTTCGTGAGACTAACAAATTTAGAGATTAGTAGAACTACTTGTATGAATAATATTTATTTGACACTGAGCAATCTGTATTACACAACTGTATCACTTTTCTGGCAATACTCTTGATGTTTATATCTGACTTGGGGAAGAGTTTCCAGAAAACCTCTATTTTGTTTTATTTGTAAGATGTTTGTGTACATACTGATAGATTTTTTGTTTGTTTGTTTGTTTGTTTTATCCTCTATTTACTTCACATGAACTTGCTGATCTCTTCCTCGTGCAATCATGTATCTGTGATGGCTTACTCTCAAACTGGCAACTGGAACAATGGACAACCTCTACTAGACACTTGCACTAATTTTGCAACAGAGGAAGAAAACATCAGCGAAACATCAGCTGCTGACCACTCCCCAGTCTTTTCGTGTTTACCAACTTCCTTAGAATGTTTGGCTGATGCCAGCGAGTCTTGCTTCATCCAGTTTGACTCATGCCCCATGGAGGAGAGCTGGTTTATTACCCCTCCCCCATGTTTTACTGCAGGTGGATTAACCACTATCAAGGTGGAAACCAGTCCTATGGAGAACCTTCTAATTGAACATCCCAGCATGTCTGTATATGCTGTTCATAATACTTGTCACAGTCTAAATGAAACTAGCTGTGGAGATGAGGAGTTTCATAATCCAAATAGTCCAAGGTAAGCCTCCCTCTTTTTTTCCTATTGCCAATATGATGTAAATACACAAGCTATGAATTACTGCTGAATACAAAGGAACAGAGTAAATACCTAGCTGCAACTTTCTTAGCCCAAATGCCTTAAGAATTCATTAGAAGCTTCAGTTCTAAGTGATTGAACAAAGCACAAATACTCTCAACATTTTAAGATAAGATGATCATAGCTTTATGCCTTTTTTCTTAAACTGTTCTACATTGTGGCCATGCTAGGAGTGAATAATCAGATGTCTGATCTTGGGATTATAATTAATACTTCTGGGGTCTAACTTATCCCATTAGTTGTATACTCCATTCCTGTTGAAGTCAGAGGAAGTTACTGACATGATAAAATATCCTATCCAGGTGCCTCCTAGAAATGTAGCTGCGCAAGGGACCTCCAGAAATGCATCTAACGTAGTCTCCAATGTTGAAGCAAGACCAAATACCTAAACTATCTCCAGCAGGTGTTTGTTTAACCTCTTCTTAAAAATCTCCTGTGACGGGGTTTTCACAGTCTCTCTTGGAAACCTAGTCCAGTGCTTAACTAGTTTATAGTTAGGAAAAATTTCTAATAGGTAACCTAACATTACTGTGCTTCAGATTAAGCCCATTACTACTTGTCCTACCTTCAGTATGTACCGAAGAACAAAGGCACACCCTCCTCTTTATAACAGCACTTAAGGTATTTGAAGACTGTATTCAGGTCTCCCTTCAGTCATCTTTTCTTAAGACTAAACACGCACCGTTTTTAAATTTTTCTTTATAGATCAGATTTCTAAACCAAAAGAGAGCAATAAAAATGATAAAAGGTACTTGGCCCCCACCCCTGTAGTATCTAAAGTGCTTCGCAAACACTAGTGATGTCCTCACAACCACTTGAGTGGAGGAAGTACTGTCTCCATTGCAGAGACTAAGAACTGGGGGCAGGGAAGAATGTGTGATTTATCTAAGATCAAGTCACAGGAAGTCTGGGGGTACACCTACACTGCAGTTAAAAACCCATAGCTGATCAATGCCAATAGATAGGGCTCAGGTGAAGGGGCTATTTTAACTGCTGTATAGATGTTTGGGTTCGGAAAGTCACCAATAAACAATATTATTTTCTTGTTAAAGTCAGAAACTATTCTTCCACTAGGGTCTGAATCCTAAGGAGGTGACCAGGCAGAATGGCCAGAGACACAAACCTATAATGCAATATTTGCTTAGTAGAGGAAGCAAAAATGTTGATGTAGCAAAAATATTTCCATTATGACCCCAAGTATTTTCCCCATATACTCACATTCTGAGAAATACTAATGTAATTCCTGCGGACCTTGTTCAGAAGGCCTGGACAAATTGGCCTGCTTCTAGAGTTAATGTATAGTTTGTTTTGCTGTGCTTTGAGCAACTGTTTTGAATATCTTCCCTAATATGGTTTGTCTTGTGCTCTCACAAGTTATCTGACTATAAAAATTAACAGTTTTTATGTAAATGCCTCTAATTTACCTAGTCTATCATAAACATTGGCCGGTTCCAGGAAGAGAAGACAGATTATGTAAGTGATACATTGTGTTTACACTTACATTCTAATCATTAGTTTAATAGGTGAAAATATAGCTAGCGGTGCTTAAAATAAAAGACTGTAGTTTAAAAGCCTAAATTACTTTTAAAGTATAGCATTCTGACAGCATCATTTGAACTATGTTAATGGTTCAAACAAAGTGACTGCAACAGTTGTGGTGATTTCAGGAGTTTGGACAGCTTTCTTTTAATAGTTAAACAACCTAAGGGTTTTTTCAGCTTTAACCACAAAATGTATACGGTCCAGGCTGAGACTGATCGTCTTTCTTAAATATTTAGGGAAGTGTCTTCTGTTGAGAAATTAATTTTGCTTATAATGAAATGTAAGGACGCAACTTTGTTCTCATAATGTGGGGGTGCAGCCTGTATTTGTAGAACTTCACAATAGAACATAAGAACGGCCATACTGGGTCAGACCAATGGTCCATCTAGCCCAGTATCCTGTCTGCCAACAGTGGTTAATGCCAGAAGCCCCAGAGGGAGGGAACACAACAGATAATCCTCATGTGATCCTTCTTCTGTCACCTATTTACGGACAAACAGAATCTAGGGATGCCATTCCTACCCTTCCTGGCTAATAGCCATTGGTAGACCTAACCTTTATGAATCTATCTAGCTCTTTTCTGAACCCTGTTAAAGTCCTGGTCTTCTCTACAGGTTGACTCTGCACTGAGTGAAGAAAATACCCTGTAGTATCTGATCACTGTGGAAAGGATCCCACTTCAAAGGTGCACTAGCATGGCTATTAACATGATTAAGCTTTCTTCTGTAATGTGTTTAGCATTTAGCAGAGCCCCCTGGGCTACACAAGCATGGTGGTGCTCTCAGTGAGTGCCTTCTCTGCTCAGCACAGAGGGGTCAGTTACCTGCATTCTACATTAGTGGAATCCTGCAGAGGGCTCTTTGCAGGAGTGGGACACATGCATAGGGTTACAGTCTTCCCACGGCCCCTGCAATATGGAGTATGTAGGTGATACAGCTTCAGGTGATACCATTTCTTCTGCAGAGTCTCTTCCCTCACTTACATGGAAGGAGGAAGAGTTCCTAGGAGAAGTCCAAAGTACCATCTCTTCTTGGAGTCCCTTTTGCCAGAATTCTAGGATACAGAGTCTCTGCATTTGTGGCCCTTATCTCTCTCAGATCCTGCAGATCTTTGGGGATGGGGCCAGGATCTATGCAGACTTTTGCATGTTGGCAGAATGCAGGTGGAGGGCTTTAGGGAACCAAGCCCTGCTAGGTCTCGGCTCCATCAGACCTCTTCTTGTGGTTGACATTGTTGGTGGAGATGGTATGGGCCTATGAAAAAATGTTCTATTGCCTCATGGGGAAATGCTTTGAGTCATGCAGGCTATTCCCCAAAACCTGCTGTCAAAAGCTGGCCCTGTCTAAGTTCTGACTTGTCACTTACAAATAGATTGATTGCTTTAGCATTAAGACCACTTTTTTCTTCTTTGCAGGTTTTCTGTAAACTGTTTACAAACCATGACTCTCCGTGTTCTGTACGTAAGCTGATAAAGCATCTATGCACTTTAATCTTGGGTCTCTGCCAGTTTGCTCATATAAGTGTGAGCCCTTCTCTTGAATTTTTGGATACAAAGACTTACTAGCCAAAGTCTCATTCTTGCCTTAGTAATGTTCCAGAGGCTGAATAATATGTTTGTGGGAGAAATCAATAACTTGTCCAGCCAAGAGCCAGAGTTCAGTGAAAAAGAAGATGAAGAATGGATTCTGGTTGACTTTATAGGTAAGATGTTTGTTAAATATAACCTCTACAGCAGGAAGCAGGCAGTTATTTTTATCATACTTTGTATAAGGAAACAAGCAGCTCCAAAGGAATTTTTAGCCTAAGTGTAAATAATATGGATTTGTATAAAACAATGAACTACAAAACGTGTAATTTGACTAGGGAAACTGACATCAGTTTCGTGAGACTAACAAATTTAGAGATTAGTAGAACTACTTGTATGAATAATATTTATTTGACACTGAGCAATCTGTATTACACAACTGTATCACTTTTCTGGCAATACTCTTGATGTTTATATCTGACTTGGGGAAGAGTTTCCAGAAAACCTCTATTTTGTTTTATTTGTAAGATGTTTGTGTACATACTGATAGATTTTTTGTTTGTTTGTTTGTTTGTTTTATCCTCTATTTACTTCACATGAACTTGCTGATCTCTTCCTCGTGCAATCATGTATCTGTGATGGCTTACTCTCAAACTGGCAACTGGAACAATGGACAACCTCTACTAGACACTTGCACTAATTTTGCAACAGAGGAAGAAAACATCAGCGAAACATCAGCTGCTGACCACTCCCCAGTCTTTTCGTGTTTACCAACTTCCTTAGAATGTTTGGCTGATGCCAGCGAGTCTTGCTTCATCCAGTTTGACTCATGCCCCATGGAGGAGAGCTGGTTTATTACCCCTCCCCCATGTTTTACTGCAGGTGGATTAACCACTATCAAGGTGGAAACCAGTCCTATGGAGAACCTTCTAATTGAACATCCCAGCATGTCTGTATATGCTGTTCATAATACTTGTCACAGTCTAAATGAAACTAGCTGTGGAGATGAGGAGTTTCATAATCCAAATAGTCCAAGGTAAGCCTCCCTCTTTTTTTTTCCTATTGCCAATATGATGTAAATACACAAGCTATGAATTACTGCTGAATACAAAGGAACAGAGTAAATACCTAGCTGCAACTTTCTTAGCCCAAATGCCTTAAGAATTCATTAGAAGCTTCAGTTTTAAGTGATTGAACAAAGCACAAATACTCTCAACATTTTAAGATAAGATGATCATAGCTTTATGCCTTTTTTCTTAAACTGTTCTACATTGTGGCCATGCTAGGAGTGAATAATCAGATGTCTGATCTTGGGATTATAATTAATACTTCTGGGGTCTAACTTATCCCATTAGTTGTATACTCCATTCCTGTTGAAGTCAGAGGAAGTTACTGACACGATAAAATATCCTATCCAGGTGCCTCCTAGAAATGTAGCTGCGCAAGGGACCTCCAGAAATGCATCTAACGTAGTCTCCAATGTTGAAGCAAGACCAAATACCTAAACTATCTCCAGCAGGTGTTTGTTTAACCTCTTCTTAAAAATCTCCTGTGACGGGGTTTTCACAGTCTCTCTTGGAAACCTAGTCCAGTGCTTAACTAGTTTATAGTTAGGAAAAATTTCTAATAGGTAACCTAACATTACTGTGCTTCAGATTAAGCCCATTACTACTTGTCCTACCTTCAGTATGTACCGAAGAACAAAGGCACACCCTCCTCTTTATAACAGCACTTAAGGTATTTGAAGACTGTATTCAGGTCTCCCTTCAGTCATCTTTTCTTAAGACTAAACACGTCCAGATTTTTCCTGAAGGATCACATTCTCTCAACCTTTTATCATGTTTGTTGCTCTCTTCTAGACTCTCTCCAATTTACCACATCCTTTGTAAAGCATCGCAAACACTAGTGATGTCCTCACAACCACTTGAGTGGAGGAAGTACTGTCTCCATTGCAGAGACTAAGAACTGGGGGCAGGGAAGAATGTGTGATTTATCTAAGATCAAGTCACAGGAAGTCTGGGGGTACACCTACACTGCAGTTAAAAACCCATAGCTGATCAATGCCAATAGATAGGGCGCAGGTGAAGGGGCTATTTTAACTGCTGTATAGATGTTTGGGTTCGGAAAGTCACCAATAAACAATATTATTTTCTTGTTAAAGTCAGAAACTATTCTTCCACTAGGGTCTGAATCCTAAGGAGGTGACCAGGCAGAATGGCCAGAGACACAAACCTATAATGCAATATTTGCTTAGTAGAGGAAGCAAAAATGTTGATGTAGCAAAAATATTTCCATTATGACCCCAAGTATTTTCCCCATATGCTCACATTCTGAGAAATACTAATGTAATTCCTGCGGACCTTGTTCAGAAGGCCTGGACAAATTGGCCTGCTTCTAGAGTTCATCCTCTGTAATAAGAATGACCAAGGATCATCTTATGGTAAGATTGGTTTTATGTGTAGCAATATGCAAGTAATTACTGCTGACTTCAGTGGCAGCCTCATTCTCATACATGGTTAGCAAGACTTAAAATAAAATTCACCCATTTTCTTTCATTTTGTTTTGGAAAGTGACATGAGGCAGTGGCTAACAAGCATGGGGCAGACACTGAAGCGCTGTGCTCTTGGGATCAAGGCCCTGTTTGGGAGATCCTGAGTACCACCACTCTAGTTAAAGTCAGTGGGAGCCATGGGTACCCAGCACCTCTGAAAATTGGGCTCTGAAGAAATCTCGCAACTGTAAGGTGCCCCTAATACTGTCCCCATGCATTGGGACACAATGAAAACAGGAAAGACTAGTTTATAAGAATGTAGTGAGGAACAACAATTTAACAGTAATGGTTGCAAAATGAAGATGGTGAAATTTGAATGAGAATTTGAGTGTCAGTACAGAGTAGATGGATCTGGTGCCTTCTCCTTTTCCTCAAAGTCAGATATGGAATTCTTGTGATGAAAAATTTAGGGATACTGGTGTAAACTATTTCAGAACTACATCTGGCACCTTTTTATAATGCAGTGCTACTTTAAATATATAATCAAATTAAAGGATGAGATACTCACTTGATGTAAATCAATATCATTCCTCTGAATTCAATGGAATTGTGCATTCAGCTGAGGATGTGGCCAAAGTATTGCTATTGAATATTTATGAAACTTAATGGCAATTAGGTGCCTAAAAGCCTTCTTCTGAGGACCTGGGCTAAATATTTGTCATAATTTCATGTATAAGATAGTTATTTTGGAGAACAAATTGTGACTGACACTCTCTAAAAGTTTAAAGTTGAGAGGAAATTTAGTAACTGAGAGAGGATATAATTGTTCAACTAAGCTGACAATACAGTGAACTGTTGTCTTGAAGTCTCTAGTTGTTTGTTTAATGGTTGGCCATTTAACATTGTAGGGCCAGGAAAAGCTGCTTAAGTCACACTGGCACAGTAAGTACTACTGCTTTGGGACAGTACTCTTTTTGTTTGTTCAGTTTGCTTTGTAACTAGACTTGTGGATCAAAACTACCCTTTTTAAGACTAACCTCAGTTTCAACTTAAGATTCCTGGTCAATTCTAATTGATTCTTTATCACGAGCAAAATATACTGCTAAGTACATGAGTGGCTTTTACAAATGTTGACTATTGGTTAAGAATTTTTAGGGTTCAAGTCTTGTGAGCTTTTACTTGGAGTCCATCTCCACTGAAGCAAATATCCATATGAATTTCAGAGCGCAGGTCAACTAACTCCATCTCCTGCTATGTTTACATTCCCCTTCCATCAGGAAACCAGGCAAGGTGGGTTGGTGGCTGGGTATCCGAGTACATCAATGGCTCACTAATACATACACTGACTTATGGCGATGGACAATATGAAATCCACATCTGTATTAATAAGCTATTAATGCATTTCTTTGGCTGATGACATGAGTCAAAGACATGCTCAAGGCATACACAATTAGCCTACCATTGCTCAATCTGTTATGGTTTTATTGTTGTAGTGGTTGTATTTGTGCTACCATAACTGTGCTTGAGCCAGAAATTCCCTTAGTACTGTCTTAATTCAAAGTTTCAGCTCTGACATGTTGCTTCTAAAACTGGCTTAATACAGTCATATCTGGCCAGTGGTAGTACAATCGTTACAGGAAACTACATGCCTGTTCAGTTGATCTGTATAAAAGGAAAATATAAGAGCAATTCCAGTAGGGATGTAAAGGACTAGTCAGCTATCCAATAAACAAATGCTGGGGGCTCTTGTACACTTCCCTGTTCCGCCTTTGAAATGTACGAGAGCCCCGCTGCGAGCTCTTGTGCATTTCAAAGCGGAAACATTCGCGTGGAGCCTGAAATCAGCGGGACTTCCCTCTGGCCCTGGGATGCACGAAGAATTCCAACTTTGAAATGCACATTTTAAAGGCGGAACGCAGAAGTGCTTATTGAGTAGTCAATGGAAATTCCATTGATTACTCAACTAGCAAATTAATTACTACTTAACATCCCTAAATTACAGTGTGAAATAATTAGGGTGAGTGAAGGTCAGAACATTAAGTTGGACATTATGCTGACTGGCTCTTTGTCAGTTTCAATAATCCATAAAGGGATATAATGCTGGGATAGAAATTCAGCAAAATTCATCTTGGGGCCATTTCCTTCAATCCATTCACTTTGTGCCACCAGATCAGCACAAAAAGAATGTATTTTGGCTGCAATTCTTTACTGGTAGGCGGTTAAGGGAAGCCGGGGAATCTGCTCCAACACACACAAGCGCTGCTGGCATGGAGGATAGGAGACAGACCAGGGGCATGGCAGGATGTTCTATTAGACTAGACAGATTTTTCCATTGGTGTAAGGTCGTTCCACTAGTTGGAACAATTAGAGCCATATAGGGCTAAATTTGTTATAACTGACTTCCTGAGGGTCCCATTTTCCTGTGCCTTGAGTATAGGGAAGGCATGCACTTCCAAACTTTTGACCACCACCCTTTTTGGATGATTCTTAAAAGTTGCATATAACCACTTTGTGTCCCAGAAGAGAGCCTGCTGTACAAATAATGTCCCACACATAAGGCTACCTTATTGGAGAGGTTCTTAGAAAGCTTGTGTGTTACAAAACTTTGTAAAACTACAGCAACCACCCTCAAACACTGTCCTTCAGGCTGTAGGGGTGGAAAGAAAGACACTTTTCTGATGCATTCTCCCACCCTTACATACTGTGTGATGCATCCTCCATACTGTGTGATGGGATGTGACTACAGTAGTCTGACTTGAAGAGGCATGAGGGAATCAAAAGGATAGGCTGAAGAAAGATCTTTAATATCTGCTACACATTTCACACAGCTGGTTTGACTTCACTGGCATAAGTAGTCTAACTTTCGAGGTCTTATCTCTGAACACCATGTTTGGGTTGCCAGCCAGGTAGTAAAATCCAAACTGTCTTTTATTAGGGCCCTTTATTTTCACAGAGCCCAAACTATCAGTGTGCAAGATGACCTTTCACCATAACATCTAGTAAATATTTACTTATTCCTTAGAGGAAACTGAAGTACATGCTGCTTTCTGTATTTAATATATTATATGATCTTTTGGGCATTATGCCATTAGTTCATGTAGACTAGCAAGCTGGAAAGCACATTATGCCCCCAAAGATTAAATATTGAATCAGAAATAAAAAAGGCAACATAGCATAGTCATTACAGAGAAGGTGAGGTACAGAAAACAGACCTATTATCAACTCACTCCCTAAAACATTCTGAAACTACAGGAGAGAACTTCATGCCTAGTATGGTAGGATAGGGTCACCCAGTGAAGTGATGTGTGTAAACCTCTACATTTAGGCTTGGCAGAGTTTGAATGTTTTTAATAATTTTGGATGATAGCAGTTTATTTTAAGGGCTTTTTTATTTTTATCTAATTGAATTCTCCCAGTTGCAGGAGATTGTTAGGGTTGAGAGGGCTAGGGACTGGGAACATCAGACAATAATCTAATGGCATTACGCACTGCTATCCAAAGAGTCAAAGTATTATAATAATTTAAAATACAAATTGTCAAAATCGCATGTCAAAGTCTATCCAGTAAATATCCTGAAGTAAGCTCTCAATTTTCCAAGCAACATTTTACTTGCTTTGCCTATCTGTACATTTCTATTCTTATCATCAGAGATATTTTTTCAGTCTGTGTGTGCTAGGGATGTCAACATGTAGTTTACTACATGATTGTCTGATAAGCCTTGGCTTATTGGTTAATCTTGTTGACTACACACACTTCCACTCCTCTTGTTGCTTCTGTCAGGTGGGAGCCAGTGCCCATGGGGAGCCAGCTTTTAAGCCAGCTCCCTATGAGCACTGGATCAGCATGCTTCTCTGTCCTGCTCTGCTGCCTCTGATAGGCAGCAGCACAGAGGGTAAAGGGGGGGGGCAGGTGGAAGCTGATATGCGTGGGAATCTGGCTTTCAAGCAGGCTCCCCATGCATGCCAGCTCCGCAGACTCACCTGTCCTCCTTGCTGTGGCAGCAAGGAGCGGGCAGGAGCCAGTCCTGGGGGGAGCTGGCTTAAAAGTAAATTTCCCTGAGCACTAGTTATGTGGTTCCATCTTCTGTACCCCCCTGTTATAGGCAGCAGCATAGGGGGTGGGGCAGGGCAGGCTGCCGTAAAGCAGCCTCTGTCTGCGGCAAGCCTGGGCCTGCCATGGACAGAGGCTGGTCCACAACAGCTGCTCCTGTCCACAGTGGGTCCAAGCTCCCTCTGGACAGAGGCTGCTGCTGAGGAGCAGCCTCTATCCACGGGGAGCTCGGACCCCAGCAGGCAGCCAGTCTGCACAGGGAGCTGGTTTTTAAACTGGCTCCCATTGCAGACCAGCTCCGGCCTGCCACCCTATGAGAGGTGGCATGGGGCTCCCTGGGAGTGGTGCTAGGAGCGCACTGGCTGCCACCCCCTATGCCCCTAGGACTATCAAATAGTCAGGTAACCACTGAAATTTCATGCAGTTACACAACTATTTAATCACATGCTATCTAATATCCCTAGTGTGTGTGTGTGATGTAATTAATGTCTAGTGATATTTAGTGATACAAAACTAATCCTTCCAAGCCTATCTATATTCATTCAGCTGAAAGAAAATACATTCCCTTAATAGCACTTTCAGATCTAGAGAAGTTTAACTGTATGAACTGTAACCTATATATGTTCAATTTTAGAATGGAAGCACGAAATGAAATGGGGCAGCATATTCATTGCTACGTCGCCACTCTTGCTGCTCATTCAAGTTTTTTTAAACGAACCAAGAGTTTTCGGCCGAGCCAGTGGGTAAAAGAACACAGTGAAAGACACCATCTCAACAGAAACAGCCTCCGTCGCCAAAATCTTACCAGGGATTGCCACTCACGGCAAATCAAGCACAATGGATTGTTTGTTCACCAGCCTTGTCAGCGTCAGTACAATTACTGAAGGCATAGAGGTTTTAATCCTGTCGGTTAATTATTCTTAGCTTTCTCTTGTTTCAGTGTGTAGATAATGAAGGTATGGTCAGCCTGAAGCTGATCATCAATCATTTGAACACATTTGTGACTAGTGTTACATTAGTTTGAAACTGTATTTACATATAGTGTATCACAACATGCCTTTATAGGTCCTAAATGGTTATCTTAAATATTTCAGTGTCTTGAAAATGAGTGTGTGAGAGTGATGGTTTTTAACTACAGTTTGACGTATGGATGGGTTTTTAAAGAAAGCTCTAACAAAGGTGGAACATGCATTCTTCAGTCATATCTCTTGTTTAATCAGAATGAAGTTACAAAATTATTGGGATCAGCCATACATTTGAATAGCCAGTAATTTTGACAGTTTTGTATGTTTGTATATACCATGTGCACAGATATACTCTTAACATAAGCATTAAAAGGCTATACTTGCCAATGGACTTGAAGTAGGAATCACTAAATTCTTAGTGAAAGAAGGATAACTCTAATTTCAATTTAGATTTTTATCTACTTACATTAAACATATGTAAGTTCAATTAGAGTTGTCAAATATTTCATATAAGCAGAACAAGAGAGTTAAATGTCCAGCTGATAAGAGATAACACTGTGCCTTACATGGCGTGAAATGAAAAGTAGACTTATGGCTTAATATAGACATTTAACCCAGAGAGTCCATCAGTATTTCAATTCATACAGCCTACACTCTTTTATTCTTCCCTCTGCCCTGTTCTTCCCCTTCCCCTCCCCCCCCCCTTTTTTTTAAAGGTCCATTACATAAACTAAATAAAGTTTGGGTAAGTATCTGTAGTCTGAGCCAAGAAGAAAGGGCTACAGTGATTGTCTTCTACAACAGGTCCATCCATAACTACACCTTCTGTAGAACGTATTCTGGGGGATGGTGAGTATGGATGGGCTTCCAAGCTGCTGATTACAGCCTCAAGTTGATCAATTAATTTCAAATTAATTAATTTCAAATGATTAATTTGAACCACTTGCAAACTACTGGACAGAAAACCTGTTTCCAGATTTTCACCCCTCCTAACTTTTTCCCAATGAGAGAAGGAAGTCTGAGAAACAATGAAAGACATAACATTATGTCAATACATTATGACACTACTGGTCTTCCAGAATTAAGCAGTACTAGAAGACTATATAAAATTGTAGATGCAGAGCTACATTGCTAGTAGACGTTACATTGCTCGTGCAGCATAAAAACAGAAGAATAATTGGATGTTAATTGACTAGTGGGGAAAAATACAGAACTTTAAACATCTTAATTTTTGTAAATCTTGCATGACCTTCTGGAAGAAAACATGCCTTGAAAGGTACCCAATTTAACAGCGCAGGTACTTCTAGGCAGCCACACTACAAAATCAACCATAACAGATCCTTCCTGTGAATTGAGTAAATTGGGGAATTGGGGGGGGGGGGAGAAAGAGAGGAGAATAGTGGAGTTTTATTCTTCCTCTTTAGTTTCCAGTGTTTCATCTGCAATCACTGCTTCTCCTGCATTTGTTGCTAAGGCGCATAAATGTTGGTCACATTCAACAATGTCTTCCCAGCTGAAATGTAGAAAAGCCTCAACACTATAAGACGTGTATATGGGTGACTTGAATTTTTGTGATTAGATGAGACCAATAATGCTTAAGAATTATTTCAAACTTATGAAATGTTCTTTGATATATGGCCAGATGTTTACCTAATGCCTTACAGTAATTTTTCATTATGAGTAGCACTGCCTATAATAGATGCAGGTAAAACGCCCGTGGAAAGTCATCTTCCTAATCCTGTAGCAAATAGCTGTCTGTCTCCAATTCCCTTCAAATATTTCCATGTTTTTAGTTAATAGTTTAACTACTCTGTAGATCTGTAAATGTAGTCCTATCTGTATTGCGTTTGTTTGTATTCCTATCATCTTACTGGGGTATATTCCTAGTAATGCCTGGAGGTCATATAGTCTAGCCCCCTGTGCTTAGGCTGGACCCACATATATCTAGGTCATCCCTGAAAGTGTTTAGTTTAACTTGTTCTTTAAAACTTCCAGTGATATGGAATATAGGTTTTGCTTTTAAGTGATTATGCATGAGTCTAAGTGCTTAAAGCCAATTCAGAATGTAGAGGATTTTTGTTGATGTTCTTAACTCTTCTTTTTTTAGTGATGCATATCGAGTTTATACAGTGATCTTTTCCTGGCCTAAAGCTCAATTATTTATACAAGAATAATTTTGTAGCTTCACCAATCTCTGATTCCTAGAATTTCTCTCATTTGTTCGCTAAGATCTTAACTTCTTTTCTGGTATAATTCCTTTTCATTTCAGCTTTTTCCTTTTGTCCTTCTTTCATCTGCTTCCTCCATATACAAGTGCACATACTCACATTTTGCAGCTCAGGAGATTCCTTGCTTTAATTTTTCTCTTCCTAAATAGCTACTTTCCTTCCACTTTGATTTTCCTAAAGTTAAATGAAGGAAGATAGAATCTCCACCTCTTTGAATTGAAATGATTTTGTAATCCTTTAACTT